TTATGGAAGAGAGGCGAACGACTTGCGTGATTCGGACGCCTCGACCATCTTGAAAAATGTGCCAACAAGTTCCTCCGGGGACAACACTGTTGAGCGTCGGGTTTTTTTGGCCTGGATGTTTTTAATGAAATTCGATGGGTAACCATTAGATTCAAGTGCTGAATAAACTCGGTTAAGTTCTCGTTCTTTTCCTTCGGAGGGGTTGGGTAGCTTTAGGGCTCTGTGTAGAAGAGTTGCTGCTGTGCTGGCCTTGTGTTTATTATCATGGTGAGAATTGTAGTCTAGATATCTGTCCGTGTGCGTAGGCTTTCTGTAAACATCGACAGCGATGGTGCCATTTCTACGGGTGACCAAAGTGTCGAGAAAGGAGATCTTATTGTCACTTTCAATTTCGATGGTGAAAGAGATGTTGGCGTCAATTGAATTTAATGTGTCATGGAAAGCTGGCACATTGTCTTTTTTGATGATGCAGAAGCTATCATCGACATAACGTTTCCAGATTTTAGGAGGGACGGATGAACTGTTAATCGCACTTTCCTCGATTTCTTCCATACAGAGATTGGCCACTACAGGGCTAACTGGACTGCCCATAGCGCATCCGTGTACTTGTTTATAGACTCTGTCATTAAACATAAAATAGTTGTTGGACAGGGTAAATTGGAGGAGTGATATTATGTCATTGATGTCCAAATTTGTTCTGGATGGAAGAGAGGCATCCTGTTCCAGTTTGATCTTGATGTAATCACATGCTTTGTCAACAGGGATCGCAGTGAACAGTGATACAACATCGAAGGAAACCAAGACTTCGTTCTCGTCGATCTTGATGTCAGATATTTCTTTGGAAAACTGCAAGGAATTGGCAACAGAGTATCCGTTACGATTTTGAATTGGAGATAGAATATCCGTTAGAAACTTGGACGTGTTGTAGAGGGCTGAGCCAATACAGGTGACAATGGGTCTCAGTGGGTTCCCTTCTTTGTGGTGTTTAACTGAGCCGCGGATCGCTGGTGGTGTGCCGTCGGTTGAGTGAAGTTTACGATAGGTTGGGTCATCAATCTTTTTTTGTCTCTTTAAGGAGAGTAACATGGCATTCAATTCGCGTTCAATCCGGCGGAAAGGTGATGTGGAAACTAGCTCATAGGTGGATCTGTCATTGAGCAAAGTCTCCATTTTGTTGTCGTAGTCTGATCTGTCCATGACGACAAAGCAGTTTCCCTTATCAGCTTTCATTATGACTCTAGATTGATCCTTCTTAAGATCGTTTAAAGGCTGTAGCTGACATCTCTCAAGTGGCGTAGGAGATGAATCACTTTTGATTTACAGCCTTTTAATGGGTAGCAGCGCGAAACTCTCCTAACTCGCTTTTTTACCACTGTATCATCACGTTATTAACGGAATTTTGGTCTTCAGTCGTTTTGTGAAAAGTATATTTTATGTTGAAAGAAAAAAAAATTAACCTTCCGTTTGTAATGTTGATTAAAAAAGACAAATGAAAACAATGTATTCACTCAATTTGGCGATCAGTGTGAACCGATTGGATGAATAAGCCATTTGGCTTTAAAAATCGGATAGTTTTTCGAGAGGCAAGTATTCTACCTCCAAGTGGCCTGTTCCAGGCTCTCAAGGCGATCGAGGGCTGGAACAAAAAGCTTCTTTTTGGAAGTGATTTTAATATTTTCCAGCACGTTACACCATACATTTTAAAAGTTGTGTGAAGCTGTTCCAGAATTATGTGCCTTCTTGCCAACAACCCCATTTCCCACCCCACCCTTACCTACCCGCTTCGGGTATGACCCATAAGAGTAAATAGTGATTCATGTAAATCAGAAAGTATCTTGCTTTTTTTACCGCTGAAAACATGTTTACTGGTAAGATGAAGTCTTTGCAACCAACTGCGTAATCGGGATTTGATATGCGATGAATGCTAATGCTAATCCGATTAGCGCACTTTGTAGGCTACATTGGACGAATTCATTTCTTTATGGCGTCTAGGAAGATGTATTTTCCTTAACTATCCACTTACAATGAAAGCATCTTCTTCAGTTTATGTTTAAAGATGTGAAGTTTATCAAAGGGCTTCGGAAGATAAGAAACTTTTAAATTTATAGTTTAGTTTCGAAAAAGGGCATTTATGTAAAGCGGCACGTTACATAAATGCCAAATCAATCGCTGTTTTTTGAAATGAGATAATTCACAAACGAAAAGACAGTTTCTTGAAACTTTTTTGGTCAATATAAAGCAAAAACACTGTATTGCACGCAGGTATAGTTTTAATCGCTAAAGCTGTGTTTGAGACACGAAATAAGCTTCGCCGCTCAAAAGTAGCTTTTTGTAATTTTACGTCGTTTCGAAGACCTGACAGGTCGATGACGAACCATACACTCCGAGGTCATTTCTTTAGCTCGCATTTTCAGGGACGAGCTAACTGGTGGAAAGTGAGGGAATGACCAAAATATGCTAAATGAAATGGATACCCAGCAAACCACGAAAAATTTGACTTTCAGGGCAATAAAATTATGATTCCATGGCATAGGGCATTTACGTACCCTTGAACGCGCTTAAAAATTGTAAAAAATTGAAAATATACTGCTGCGCTCTAAAATTTTCTACGATTATAAAGTAATCGACAGACATTCGTGCCAAACTCAAAAATCGCTGAAGTAATCATTTCTGAATAAGATATGCTCGGGAGACTTGAGATTACCAAAAGTGCCCTACTTTCAATCTGCGGAAGAGAGAGATGGAGAGAGAGGAGAGAATTAACAAGCTGTATTTCGCTTTAAAGTCGTGATTGAAGTTTTTGCTTAAAAATGCTTCCCAGCCGGCAAAAGAATATGTATTTATGAAAATTTGCAACGAAACTAGGGATGTACTCTGAAACTCAACAAGCAAGGGTTATGAAACCGCCCGTTGGAAGCGGGTTGGATGGGAAATTACAGCCCGCTCTCGGAACCAATCAGATTGGAATTTGTAGAATTTGTCCGCTTACGCATCGAGAAGAAAATATTAGTTACCAGACTTTTTAGCTGTAAGTTAGGTTTCAAAAGTGACATTATCTTGGGAAAACATCGTTGTAACAATAAAACCGGAACCAGTCTTAAATAGACACTTGCCCGGTTTACTCGATGTTCTTTATTGAGGTATGTGTCACGAGGTGAAATGCGAATTGATTGTGTTGAATGGACTACGCACTGGCTAAAAATATACGGCTGTGAGCATAGTTATACACAACTTCAGCTGGGTAAGGATTTTGAGGTTTGAAGAAATGAAACAATGCCTGCGTCAAAACATTGTTTACAACTAAGCTTAATTTGTTTTGTTTTGTTTTGTTTGTTTGATTGTTGTCTTTTTTTTTAGGGGAACCGATCATGTTAAGTTCAGGCGCTTTTTCAGTTGCTCTTTGTTAAAAACCATAGTCTAATATCGTGGTGAATTTATCTCAGTTACAAGGCCCGGGGTTTTGGACACATATTCCCGCTTCTAAATGAAATCAAGTTCTGGAAAAGGCGTTTTCCATCCCCGGCTCTGTTGGTCCTGTTAGGAGTCTTGGAGAGCTCGTTTTTCTCCTTCTTGAGTTGAGAGGTATTATAGGGGTTCATCGGACAATCTCAGCACCTGATAATTACAACGCAACCAAAACAAGTCGCTTGCTTGAAGGTGCCGCAAAAACCATTTTAATTCAGTACTTAGCATGAATTTCGATGTACTTTAAACTACAACTTCGTTACACAATAAGGCACGTCACCTTACGGCTATTGTAAGTAACGTTTGAAACTATCAGAAAAATTCATTAACAGTTGACAGTATTGCCTGTTTACAAGGTATTTTAGTGAGAGGTAAGCCTAAGTGTATCACTAACTCTTAATCTTGTGCATGCTGTAATTCTGTGTCGCCTCATTCAATTATAGCAGTATGTGTTTTGCTGTTTTATTAGCGACATCTGTACTGAATAGAATCTTCACTCCCGACTCGTTGTCTCTTACGAGACTGAAGTGTGTCAAAAAAGTTTCTGATGTCTTCCTCTTTCACAACCTGCCGATACGAAAAAGAGAAACAAGAAAAATACTTCAGCTTTAATACAGTGTTCACTTTAAGGTGGCACGGTACACCTTCGGACAGGCAAGCGCGTCGTTTTATTCATCTTTGTGACAAGTTGATATTTATTATTACAATTTGCGTTGAGTTGTTGTCATAAATTGCGTAGACCGACGATTAGTTCAAAATGCTGCAACCCTTAATACAAAATTCATAGGTCGGTTTTGTTACAAAATACTAGTATACCTATTACAAATACGTAAGTAATTTCAAAATACCGCAAAGCAATCCTCAACATAACCATTCCATTTCAATAAAGTCTATGTCAAAAGCCATCAGTTTCGTTTCAGTATTATGTCTTTGCGTACGTGAGTGTCGGTTACTTCTCTACTTGTAGATTACCTTTCCTTGTTCCACAAACCCTCTAAGATACTCTGTCAGCTCGTTTTTCATATCATTGTAACCTACAAACAGACGAACCAGTGTAAGTAAAGAACTACGAAAGACATGAAGACCTAGTAGTCTAGCATCACAATCACATGGAATGAAACTAAAACAAGGAACAAATAGGAGATCAGAGTAAAACGGGAAACTGCCTTGAACGTCCTGAAATTAGAGGGATCGAGAAGTGTTTCGTAGTAAGTATTACGTCTCATTGGTTTGAAGGATAGTGCAAGTTATCTTGACTAAAAGAAAAGTGCAGTAAAGCAAACCCAAGCAGCATAGATATTGAATATCACAGCACTTGGTTTACAGTATTATTAGGTATAAAGCAAAACCTGTATGAAACAGACACCCATATGAGAAGTAATAAAAAAGGCCGCGAAAATGAAGACGGCGAGACACGGAGAAACGTGACAAACGAAGACCCCGAAGCCTTCGCATTTTCACATGTGTCCAGTTTTGACCGCGCTATGCGTTTTTACACTTGAAACAGGTTTTAAAAATGTCGATCAATTATGTGCAATGAATGTCAACAGCAAGGGGCAGGTTCACGTTTGTGGTAAAATCTTCCATTATTTCGGTGACCGGAGATGGAGGTGATCTTGCGAATTTTTTGGCCGATCATATTTTACAATTTGAGCCGGTGGTAAAACGTGACGTTTTGTCAAGACAATCTTTAAGTTTTCAAGCGTGTCAATACGCAGCCAGGATGTTCATAGTAGTTAGAAAATGGTAGTAAACGAACCGCGACAACACATACACTTTTTGAAAGAATAATTATACTCGTGGAACTATAGTCTAGCGTGGTATTTAAAATTAATGTTAATTTTGGTCTTACCACTCTCAATCGCATTGAGGTTTGCATTGAATACATCATTGCTGGTACATATAATAATAAAACATCATAATATAGTTGTACTACTTAATTTCAATTCAAGATTTTTATCCACACACCATGCATGACCTCCACTTGTGGAATACGCGCCATGTTCTGTAGCGCCTGCATGCCACTCTCATATGATGAAACACTGGATATCTTCTCCCTGCCTCTCTGCTCATAGGCAACCATTGTGTCAGATTCATCAGTCAGATACAATACATCCAATGATCTATAAAGGGACTATAAGCTAAATTGTCATACTCTAATTTGCCAAGTAAAAAAAACTGTGAATTTTGACAGCTAGGGTGTAGAATTATTTCATTCAATAACATCCTTACCACACACTTATCACACTTGCATAAGTTAGACCGCCACCCAGTATGCCAATAGGCTGCTCTGTTTTCGACTGTTGTCACACTTGCTTGAAGCTGAACAAGCTTGCAATCTGTCGTAGAGTTTTCAAGCTTTGAGGCATTACAGTCATCTGCAGCGGATTTTTTCGCTTTTTCCACAGTCGTTACTATGTCTGATTTGCCTGAGCGATTTGGCTTTTGAGAATCAGAGTGAGGTGTTTGGGATGTATCCTACATCAAAGAATAAATCACTGATTCAACATTGAAAATACATTTATTGCCAAGAGTTTTACTATATACCTTAAATATCTGAATCTAACACGATGATACTCTGAAAGAGAGAACTAAAGTAGTTATGCAGTTAATTATATCATAACAGACACCTCCACTGAAAAGAAGGACACCTAACCTCCCTTAAAAGAACACTCCTGAACTTTCTACCGTTCAAAATCTGTATTTTCTAACCCCTCCAAAGAAATTAGTGTCAAGAGAATTTCTAAACCAGAATCTTCTGGAGA